CTTGCGGACTCGGCTCGCAGTCTGCCAGACACGTCGCTCCGCGCGTCTGCATAATCATCGAAGTCTGCGTTATGAAGACCGGCCGGTCGTCGATATTTATTCGCACGGAATTAATGGGAACGCGCTATCGAGCCGGCAAGTGAAATCAATAATAAACTCGGTTGAATTCCGCGCGCAAACGAATACGCGCGAAAGCACGTTGTATTTCTCTCGATCAACATGGCGCGCGCTCGGCCGCAAGCTCGTCAGGGATATACACTGAAAAGTTAATACCGCGAGCGTAACGCACTGCCGAAGTGCCGAATCAACTGCGGTCATTATCATTTAATGTTCATTCGCAGCATTTCAATAAGATACTTTTAAAAGATAACCGCTTGTGGCTAGAGAAATGCGCGAGCAGCTCACCCAATTAAATTAAGCTACATTTGAATTTCGTCATGCATAACTCTGTGGATGATTTCTTGTTAATCCAGCGATATTTCAGTGGTATCGAAAACGATCAAATACCGGAGGGCGAACGCGCGAACACAATGAGAAATTATACGGATCACGGTGGTGCTGACTGTAACGCTGCATGCTGTAAAAAAGTTAATCTCACGCACGCAACAATCTCGAGCTTGTCGCTTTTAACAGTACAGCGCGGTAAACAATAACAGTTATTTCGCGATAGCGATTATTGACCAAGGTCTTGTCTCGGAAAAATATCGTCGATTGTAAATTGGCTTGATGAGAAACTAGGTCACGCACGGCAGACGGAAAAGAGTCTCAGCGAAAGACGTGTCGTTCGCCAGCGATGTTCAATCAATCATGCAGTCATACGCCCGCGTTCCCAACGAGACACTGTCAATTTCAAAAAAAAACAAAAAACACAGAGCCAAGCAGCTCCCCAATTAGGTCGCGGCAAACAAGCGCGCATTTTACGTTCGACGGTGAATTGCAAATCATCTCTATGCGAAGGAGAGCTTCGAATCTCCACCTCCCCGCTCTTTTCGTTACTCCGGTATGAAAAATCGACAGATCATTATCTCTCTCTCTCTCTCTCCCTCCCTCTTTCTCTCCCGTCCGTGTATCTTTATACATGCGCCACTGTTTTTACGGGGCCCGACGAGTATTATTCCGCAGCTCTGTTATCTCCGCATTCCGTTTGAAATATCGTTCGCTCTCAAACTTTTTTTTTTTGCGTGATGATTTTTTTTAATGGCCAATCACTTTGTAACTGAATGACTTTCGGCACAAAGCAATATTTTGCAAAAGTTTTTTCAAACGTGTTTGAGATTTTAAAAAATCTCGATCAAGTCTTGATTGCTTTAAGCTCGCATACACGCATTGTTATGATAATCGACTTTCGAAGTTGATCTTCGCACGCGTGTTGAATAATTATCAAATTCTAATATTATTGTTGCGTAGTATTCTAGTGTTCTATATATCTCATGCTTGCTACCGAGACGTAGTTTATTATTTTTGAAATACGCTTTGGCTTTTTTTTAAATGGTTTCCCTCCTTAATCTTTCGATTTTTTACTCAATATACTCTGATTATACTTGAAAAAATATCCTTTTAGTATTGACAGTTCTTCTTCGATCCAATGACAAGTTTAAAATCTAAGTTAACAAATAATAATGCCGCTGAGGTAGGAGCAGATAAGTTATCAAGGCGAATACTTTTCTGGAGAAATGCGCGCCTACGAGAAAAGCCGTTGAGTAAGTGAGATAAAGCGAATAGTAAGTATGCGCGAAAGTGCCGTTGATTAATTTAGTATAGCATTGTTCTCAATTCAAGCGTATCTTCACTTTTCGCCGAGGCGAGATGTTATGCATGAGGGCGATGTCCCGAGGGCGAGTTCCTTGCGGAAATACATCGCACAGGCGACAGAGGCGCGCGCATATGGAACGGAAGTTTCGTCGTCGTCATCGTCGTTGCCCCGCAGCTGCTTTCGCTAACTTTGACGCGCCCACTGAGACGTTCATACTTCTGCCTCGGTTTTATTTTTTGCAGGGTTATCTTTCTCTCCCCACCGGCTCGTCGGAAGTTCTACGAGCGAAATGTAAATACGTATAATCGGAGATAGTGCTGGCGTTGTGTTTTGCCAATGGGACTAGTCCACCGAGGATTTAGTAGCGCCGCCAATCTTTGGCTTTTTCATGCCAGAGATGCAGCGTTGCCAGCTTAATAAGACGCCTCATTACGTGCATACAGTTTCGGGCTCTGTATTTACGGATCGGAGCTGGTTTTGCCTGCCGAGGACCCGACACGACGTCCCTACACGAGGAATTGTTGCTCGGAAAAGGGACGCCTATGCATTTCGAAGTAATGGCCATTCATAAAATAACCGCGTGGCGTTTTAATGGTGTACGCGACAAAATACAGACCGGTTGGATCAGAAAGGATTGCTATATGGATTTGAAAATCGTGCTTGTAAATACTTTGCACAGTCTTTAATCTTCATCGCGAGATGAAAGAGACTAATATACATTATGCCTAGAAAGGTAGAAAAAACGAGGGTCCTGCATTAAAAATTTTGCCGTCTCTGGCAAAGTTTGAATTACCTTGGCAGTATAAACTCGATATGAAATTGCCCTCCCTTTTGGTCAAGAGGCAATTTATATTTTTTCTCTTGAAAGGAAAGGGGAAGAAAACGTAAATTTTTTATAAAGGCAATATTGTTTTTTACTAGTTAGCAAAGGCAATTTCCTTTTTTGCAATATTGAAGTCTGCTCTTTTTCTACATCAATAAACTTTGATTATAAAACGTCTTACTTTATGCATTGAAAAGGAATTCATCATTTTCAACATTCCTTGTAATTGCGAATAATAATAGTAAATTTGAACAATTGTACATAACGATTGCATTAAATGATATTTCGCGACGGTATAAAATGTATACGATGAAAAAGAGAATTTCACGTTTTACCTTTTGCCATTAATCTATTTTAATTTACGAATAGCGTATTTATGAAATATTAAACATTTTCAAATATGAAAAATATTTTCTTACATGCGTGATACAACGGCATGAATATGTAATTACATGCATAGAGCAAGAAAGTATTTAAAAATGATAGGAAAGTGCCTTGTAAAAAGTGATAAATATCTTAAAATCCGAAGAATTGGAGATACGGACACTGCGGCATAGTGAGAGAGAGAGAGAGAGAGAGAGGGGACAGCGAGCGAAAGCTCAAAAGGAACACTCTAAAATGTTCGCTTTACCCAAGAGATTTCCTGGGAAATAGAAGCGGCGCTCTCTCCATGAAAATTGCACGGTCCGTGTGGGTGGCGCGCGCGCACGTGGACCGACAACCAACTACGCTCTTTTTCGGTCAGCCGCAGAAAGACTCCTTTCGGAAGGAACATCCTCCCAGGGGAAATGTCAGCTTTCTTATTAAATATCTGCTTCTGCGATAGTCGCGCGACGCTACGTATTGTTCCCTTTGATTCTTACGGATACTCCTTGCTCCTCGGCAGAAATGAAGAAATAAAGGACAACATTGAAATAATTGGTTGCGACCTCTTGGGATTCCGCAGTAGTGAACAGCCCTATCTTCACATTTTTCCGCGAGAACGAAAATAGATAACAAGGAAATGCCGTAAAAATCGTTAGTAAAGAAAGAAAAAGCAAGATTCGGATTTGAATAGCCTGGCATCTGCGAAATCTCTTATATTGTGAGTGTATAACACTGTGTACAAGTATCTTGAAACTCAAATTGAATCTACAAAAGGCAGGCCCGATGATTTGCATAGAGAAGTACATCATGTCAAATAAATCCCAATCCCTAGCGAACTATTGAAAAAGGATTTTTTGTTCTCTATCGGAGCGCGTGTCCTCGGGTCCGCGTACGTGCATGCGACGAGGCGACGTGGCGTCTCGGTAAAAAAAAATAAAAGAGGGCGCGTCGCACTTAAAAGGAAAAATCTCGCGATCGCGAGGCTACGTACTGGCGCGACGAATGAAATAAACTCGCTCGCTCGACGAGAGGCTGATCGATTGCGCTGCCGACGAACATAAATTTCATAGGGTACTTGAGATGGGAGGAACCATAAGCCGGAGCAAGCTAGGCGCGCGTGTGCGAGACCTTGTTAAGGTGCACGTCTATTCGCAGCTGCTGCTTCTCGCTCTCTCTCCCCCTCTCTCTCTCTCACCCTCTACAGGGTTATGCATGCGCGCTTGCCGGAGCGGCTCTTTTCTCCGTTTACTGCTCTCTACGTAGCTGGCGCGTACAGCTTTGGAAATTCTTGCGACGACGACGCCGCCGTGGAAAGTGCTGACTTTGACTGCGCGCTCGACGCGCTCGAAAGCTGACAAATTTTCATGGACGCCCTCCTGCACGCAAACGCCTGCGCTTGCTCGCTCTTCGAAAATCATCGAACAGCAGACTGTTGTCATCGCTCGAACGCGCTTCTTAAGCTGGAGAACGTCTTCCGTGCGTTCTACGCGATCAGCTCAACAGCTCCACTTCTTGCAATTATAGAAATTGTAGCTTCGTTGAGCGTGCGAATCGCGCGTCGCCAAAAGTTTCTTTTCAAGCCGAGCGAACTTTGACTTGTGCGTCGGATGGCGCGGCGCGCGAACTCGCGCCATCGCGGTTGCGCTCATCTCGCTTCGCTTGCGCCACGTTTCTACGTGGTTCGCGCGCTTCTTTCGCGTGGTCGCGTCAGCGAGCATTCATTTGCCACTGAATTTTACATTTTCGACTAAAATCTGCAAAGGATTATGCGTTCATTAAACTGCTGAGAAATCGTGCCGGAGATGCACGTTTTTTGCTGTTGACATATTTTTACGAGCACTTACAATGTACGTAATCGAAGTGAACCGCGTGACTCGAATTCGGAATAAAGCAGACTTTTCAGAGATCAAAGCCAATAAGCAAGTTAAATAAACTGTTAAAACAATTTTTCATACTATTCGCTTAAAGTAATGCTTATAAATTTAAATGAAAATAAAAAGTTGTTACATTTTTTAAAACGAAATAAATAATTTATTTACATACACAATTTTACTTAATTGACAAATTTGTTTAATTTAGCAATTAAAATTTGTAAATTAACTAAATTTAAATTTAGCTAAATTACAAATTGAACCACGACTTTATCTTTTCGTACAGCCAGATAATAGGATTGCTTCCTTTAGGTATAAGAAGAGAGCTCTCTGGTGGACCGAAGCATGTCACCATAACGTCATCTGGTATAACATCTTTTAAAATACTCATAAAATCTTCGATAGCGCAGAATTCAGCACATCCGGGAATACGATGTAACTTGAATTCCGCTGGAACACCCATGTAGTGCAAAATCTGAAAAGTTATACTTTTTATGGCTAGATTCTTAAAAAATTGCTCGTTTTGATCTCTAAATTAATGAATTTCTTTACCCTTATATAATTTTTTGAATTTCTCTCATGAAGTTCAAAAACTATGCCACTTCCGTAGGCAGGGATTTCATTTTTCCATGCGCCAAGTGCATACAAAAGACCAGCAATGTTATCCTCATGCGCACTATATAGGTTGAGTTTTGTCGAATTCAATCGTTTTTCAAAAATCAAGTCATTCATGATTTTTCGAATAAACGTACCTAAATATCAGAGAACAATTATTCAGAAAATACATATCATTATTGTTATCATTCGTTATCTTTCATCGATAACACTAAAAATACCTCCATTCAGCCTTATCAACTTAGGTGTGTAACTTTCAGTTTTGTATTCAAATAGAGTCGCATTTCTAATGAGTCCATTTGGAAAATATAATTTTGTCCATTCAGGAAGTGCCAAACCCAAGCTAGATTCTGCGGTTAAAGTATGGTAGAGGTGGTAAACAATCTTTATGTCATCTATTTCCCGACCCGTAAAAACCGTCAAATTTTTCATGAGCTCGTTGAAGCGAGAGAGATCTTTTTTATACTCCGTCGAATTCTTAACTCGTTTTAATTCATTCACGTATCTTAAAAGATATTTCACATCAATTTATGATAATTGATTATTGATTTCACTTGATGAAGTGGAAATGATACTCACATAGGACACTTAGGGGGGTGCATATAACTTTGAAGATCGTACGGAATAGAATCTATAGGGATAGGTTGCCAATTCAATTCGTCTTTCCAAACTTGTTTGCCTTTAGGCGGATAGAGACCAGCCAATACAAGCAATAAACTCATCTTTGTACGCTCTGTGCTCGTACTGACAACAGAAATTTCTGACGGTTTAAAAGTGTCTCCTAAAAATGCATTATATCTTTCTCTCAGTTTTTCTCCAATTTGATACTCTCTCTTTTTGCCTTCCTAAAATTATTATCAAAATAAGTTACCACGGAAACATTTTAAATGCCTATTCAATTTATCAACACTTTACATACGTTCGTTAAAGCACTATGACCGTATGGTTCGAATGAATCATTTATGTATGGGTCATTTGGATAAAATCCAGTGGGATATGCTTGAGGCGTTCGATCTCCGTGTCGAAAAGCCTTGAAATGATAAGTTAAACAAACGATTATTTAATTAAATTTTAAAGTTTTAATAGAAAATTATAATTACCATGCTGACGGACTTTAATGAATAAATCTCATCAGATTTAAATACTGACGGGCTACACGCCAACAAAAGGGTAATAAAAAAATTATAGTTTGCCATGCTAAAATTTAAATTTAGCGCTTGTCACCGTAAAAAATAAATTGAAAATTTTGAACACTAATGCAAACGCTCGAGATTTATCTCCTCTTATCAGCTATCTGACTGAATCTAACCAACTTCGTAAAGAACATGAATGGAAACGCTGTAGAATATATACCCATGATTGGTAGTTTGCTTTAGATATCGGTATTTACCTTACGATTCACGCAATATGCATAACACCTCAGTAATTTTTGCGTAATAAGTCTATTGGTGCATATTAAGATTGATGAATTTTTCCTTCTCTAAATAATTTGATGCTCTCATTAATTTGTTGCATAGACGATATTCTTTCGTTTTTTATCCTCTACAATGCCTCTGTTTTCAACAAATAAAAAAAGTTATCATATTTAAACGAGTGCTTCAATTGTCGATTTCCTTTTTCATATTTTAAATACTTCTATAAATATTAAGTTTTCTAAATTCATCAAACCTGCTAGAAATTTCTTGACTGTTATCTATTTTACAATGCATCGATTTATTTTAGGTTCAGATATTTTTATGATTTGAATGCAATCAAGAATGAAAAAATATTGTATACTTTGTAAGTACCGAAATCTGTTATTATGCTTTTTTTATCAAACAAATCAAGGTCAAGTTTATTACGTTACCATATAAACATCGTAAATGAAGTGAAATGCTTCCATCAAGTTTTATTTAACGCAATAAGATAAATTAGTTTGTAAAGCTGTTTATAAAACCGACGTGAACATAAATAGATTTTCTTGAATCATGAACATTTTTCCGCTTAAATTTTTAAAGTATTTGCAAATATTTATTTGATTATTTTTTATATTTTATGTTGAAAGAGCAGTTTATACTAAGCTTAAAAGTTCATAGAAGATTGAAAATTCAAGTTTGTATAATCATGGATTCGGGATTATCCCTTAGAATAATATTATGAGTTTACAAATTTAACCATTTTTTATTTTATCATGAACCTACGTGATAATTATCATGGCTCTGGTAATCATAATGGATTAATTATTTTAGAAATTATAGATGCAAATATTTACACTCGTTAAATTAGCACGTTCCATCGTATAGAAAGTTAATTTGAGTAAGATTCTTATCAGGATAATTTAGCGGAATTCTATGGCCAAAGATTTTATATGAAGCATAAACTATAAATGAATAGAGATCAAATGTTTTTATAAAGAATGAATGTAGAAATTGAAGTCATTTGTATACAACCACTAGCGAAAAGTTAATTAAATAATTTTAAAACTTATAAATAGGAAATCGAACTAAGTACAGGTATCGTAATTAAGTTATACATCACGTGCTATTAAGATAAAAATGATGACGTAAAGGTAATAATTATACTTTGTAAAATGTCAGAATAACTTAATTAAAATGTTACTTATATAAAATAACCTAATTAAATCTTTTTAGATAAAGTTCACCATAAACTTTATTACTCAATTATTAACATGAATGTAGGAATATTGTTTAAGTTCACTTTATTGAACAGTATTTGTTCAGTTAAAGTAAAGAAAACTTGAAGACTTATTATTGTACCCAAAGAAATTACCAATATTAAGTTTTCGTTGCACTTGCTGTTACAAATTGTTAACAGTTGTAATTTACCTGTGCGATTGTAACCTTTCAATAAGCGTAATTACCAAATCATTAAAATGTATCAGTAATATGGTATAAATATATAAAATCGTTATCAAAGTTTATGAAGCCGTCATTGTAATAGCTTGATATTTTTAAATGTTTAACTCTAAAAAAGATGTAAAAATATAAAAGTACATATTTTACTTTTTATTTCATTTAAAAAATGACATGTTATAGAAATTTACAGCAAATTTTATATATTAAACCATGTCTTTATTTGCGTATAGATCCATGGAATAGGATTAGTCGATTGCGGTACAAAAAGAGAATTTTCTATTGGCCCAAGGCATGAATCGATAGTGTCAACGGGAACTACGTCTGCCAGAATATGAAGAAAATTTTCAAGAGGACAATATTCTCTGCAGCCTGGAATAATTTGCAATGTAACTTCTGCAGGGATGCCTTTATACCACCGCGTCTACAAGCAAAAGATTGAATATGCAATCAGAATTGCTTGACATTATCTAGATTATTCACTCTGAATATTTACCCTGATGAAATGTTTGGAGTTGTATTTGTCTTTGTAAAATTCAAAGATTAAGGCGCTTCCAAAAGGTGGAGTATTGAAGTTCCACAAATTAAGTGTATTTAAAATATCAGCGATATTGTTTTCATGCATGCTATAGAGAAAAAACTTTGTCGACTCTTGCTTTTTTTCGTATACATTATCATTTAGAACTTTTCGAAGAAACAGACCTTCCACGTTAATTGAGACATTAGCATACACTTAGTATAATACTGTAGTATTAATTATAAAGTATACGATCAGTACCTCCATTCAATCTTTTCAAGGTTGTCGTGTAACTCTGAGTTTTATATTCGAACAAAGCCGCATCACGAACTGGTCCCTTGGGAAAATAAGGTTTTGTCCATTTTGGCAATGTAAGATTCATACTATTTTCTGTCATTAAAGTAAGATATAATTTGTACACGCTATATAAATCACTCATGTTGCGTCCAGTCAAAATTGTCAATTTATCCTTGAGCCTATTGAAGTGAGCTGATTCTTTTTTATACTCATCTTTATTCTTTACACTTTCTAATTCTTTTGTGTACCTAACAAAAATAAACAAGTTATTTTATGGAATTGCTAGTATATAAAGTAACTGAAAACTAACGTTGGACATATTTCAGGATGCATGAAATTCGGCAATCCATCAACGAGTGAGTCTATAGGTATAGGTTGCCAATGGAGATCATTATTCCATATTTGTCGGTCTGTAGGTATGTATAGACTTGCTAAGACAAGTAGTAAACTCATTTTGGTCCGTGGCACAGAAGAACTGAGCACTGAGATTTCGGATGCTTTGTATTCTTCGCTCAAGAAGTCACGATAAAGTTCTCTCAGCTTAATGCCAAGTTCTCGTCTTTTACCAGCCTAATTATTAGTAAGCGGTTGATAAAAATTTCTCATGAATCGACCAAAATAAAACACACACGTACATTAGTTAAACCTCCGCGTCCAATAGATTCAAATGATTCATGCAAATGTGGATCATTTGGATATGATTCCTTAGGATATGCTTCGGGAGTTCTATCACCGTGTCGAAAGGCCTGTCAAAAATCCTTAATTTCAATTAGCCTTTAGTTTGTGTTTTTAAATTTTTGAAGTAAACTGTGATAATTATAGAGCAAAAAAATCAAATCAACTTTCTCATAACTCACCACACTCACTGACTGCAACATATAACTTTTATTAGATAAAGTATATGCGCTACATGTGATACAAAAATGAAATACAAAAATAACGCTCTTCATTATTTATATGATCTTAATTGGAGTCGGTGATTTATACGATTTAATTCAATAAAAGTTTATTTTTAATATAATCATTAGCTTCACAATACCACTTAAATTGTCACTTATAATGATTATTTATAAACTAGCGTATAAATAAAATAAATAAATAAATAAAGAAACATTCAATTTCGTAACCTATGGCTCTACGATGTCGCAACTAAACTGCAGTTATAATAATAAACGGAGTATGTTAAAGGTATAATTTTCCGATAAGGTGCCTGTGCTGTGCGTGCTATCTCAAACCTGTTGGTATGTACGAAATCGATAATATCTATAGACGCTAAAATTTCGTTTATATCAAACGTTCTGTTTGCATTCGATTTTATTATATAATAATAACAAGGACTATACATCGTGTTATGTTGTTTTAATGTTTTGCATATTTTGTTTTTAGTATACTAAAAACGATTGGTAATTTTCTATTTTTATATTTATCGATTCCAGACATTTTCAGCATCGTACAATAAAGATTAATATTATACAACACTGTATCTCACAGAAGTGCAAATACACCTCTATAAACTTAAAAATAATAAGATCCCCACATAAGTACTACTCGCCCACATCAATAACATTATTGTTACTCTGTTGTACTAGAGGTCTTCTATTTATTATTATTTTTTAGAAGATAATCGTTTCTTAAGAAGTTGCCTTCACACTCGAAATTATAATTTGCATTACATTTTTTTCCAAAGAATTGTTTAGTATCATACGATCTTATGTGCAAAATGAATTAAACGATTTCTTTTTCCCATTTAGCAGGCTTCTGATTTGGGTTCTTGGAGATATTTGTCAGGAGAGTCAAAACACGTTCTTACAGTGTTATCAGAAGTGGCATTTTTCAAGATTAAAATAAAGTACAACAATTTTTCTCGTTTCGAATACTACTGAATACTTTCGTGATGCACTGATTACAAATTACAAAAGGTTTATAAATTAGAAAAACAACTCGGTCGATAATTTATCATATTTAATTACGTTGATAAAAAATTTTGAATCGCTTTGGTAAATATCGATAGCAATGGTACCTATATTGAAAAACGGCATTTTTTCAAATATCTATAACAAACAAAGCCGTGACTATATTGTCCTCGTGAACACTGTATGAATAGACTTTTGTTAACTTTTTTCTGCCACCGAGCACATCGTGCTCGTCGTTGAGAATTTTTCGGATAAGCAGCCCTTCGATATATCACACAGTATGATTGAGTATTCATACACATAGTTGCATCGATGTACTAGCCAATATATTTAGATATCTCCATTCAGCCTCTTCAGTTTGGTATTGTAACTTTGAGTTGTGTATTCAAACAAAGTTGCATTGAGTATGAGACCATTTGGAAAATAAAGTCTCGTCTACTCTGGCAGCTCCAGACCCATATCTCGTTCTGCTGTCAGAGTATGAAACGCGTGGTAAATCGCGTTCGTGTCATGGGTTTCACGCTCTGTGAAAACAGTGAGATTATTCGAAACGAAATACAGGTTTTACATATCTACTATCAGCATAATAGAACTTTTACAAGGCTTCACCGTTGTCATCAAATAAAGTAATAGGAATGCAACCGCACTTTACGTATAAGAGCCAGGACGATGCATGAAATATTTCCTCTCA